ATAATAATGTTGACTAAGTTAATCAGGAGGAGTGCCCCCTCCTTGGCGCCATCTGAATCATCAAGGCGCACAAACTGCACACCCTACAGCCAAGGCCGTGTGCACGCAGCTCTTGGTAGCTAGGTCGACTACTTCTTCTGTTTCTAAACTTATTAGCTCCAGAACATTTTAATTCAAAAGAGCATTAATAAATAAAAAGTCCAGAGTTTCTAAATGTCCATCAAGAAAGGAATGAATAATCGGTCCCCATCAGAACTGGGGTGGGGGGAATGAAGGGAAAAAAGGAAGAGATGAAGGCTGATAACCATCTTCTTTCATAAGGATAAAATAATGCTTCCTCAAATAACAATTCAATGTTCCTTAATGATATGAACAGACTGGAAGAAAATCATTGTCTTCGTTTGCCTCATATACAGTGTTAGGTAATTAAATCCAGTTTGCTGTTCAGGAATGGCTTGCTGTATTACTGGAAAAATGAAAGACTTCCTCCTGGTGGTAGACAGCCACTTCAGTGGAACACTCGGTGCCTATGACTGGGTGGTAGACTTCTTCCACTTCTGTTGCCTGCTCTGCACCATCTTCACCCTTAGTCTCATCTTCTTATGGTCCCACCTTTTCTTCCTGTCCTCTGAGGTTTTGTATCTCAGGGCCTCCACTTTGTTGACAGAACAATTCATCGCAAACATTGCTCTGTATTGAGTTTCGTATGATTCATGCCTCTGGCAGTCAAGACACAGAGTGGTCACGCAGGCAGGGCAATTCAAGACAGCATCACTATTTGGAAGTGGCTGTTGTTGACATGGCCTCTGGAGTCCTAAACCGTGATACCCCTTTTCCGTGCATCGACCCAGGCCTGATCTCTGTTATTTTTTCAGGGTCACATAGTAATTCATCGGTCGCTGGAACCTTGTGTCGTTTCTTCTTCGTTTCCTGGTCTGCCTGTGCTTTTTCTTCATCCTCAGAACCAGAATCGAAATATGCATCCCCATAGTACTTTGCTGGAGCTGCTCCGACCTTCGCATTTCCTGGGGAAGACCCTGTGCCCAGAGAGGGTAACTGTCCTCCGTTGTTTTCAGGGCGGAATTCAATTCAGCTTCCATTTCTCTTTCCGGTTCGTCTTCACTAGGCGATTCCCTCTCCAGCAAGACACCGGTGAGCTGTCCTTCGGCCAGGGCTCGGCACGGGTTTGGAGAGGAGCAAGAACGTCCGCTCCGCGCCCGCGAGGGCCCGCCGCGCCCCCTGCTGCCCGGGGGGCCACCTGCAGCCGTCGCCGCGCCCCGGTTCCGCCGGCCCAGG